AACATGCTCAGCTTCTGATTGTGAGTATATAAGAATATTATCAGGAAATACAATAACACATTTATCAAGATATTTGTTACATACCCTATTCATCAAATTCATGAACTCTGCTAGAGCATTGGTTTGACCGAACAACATGACCAAAAACTCATGATGTCCATATCTAGTTCAAAACGCAGTTTTAGCAATATCTTTGTCCCTGACTTTCAACTGATGATATCCTAATCGCAAATCGATTTTGGAGAAGTAACTGGCCACAACTAGTTGATCAAATAAACCATCTATTCTTGGAAAATGATATTTTTTCTTTATAGTCAGTTTATTCAACTCTCAATAGTCGATACACATTCTCATCCTCTCGTCTTTCTTTTTGACAAATAAAATGGGAGTACCCCAAAGAGATGTATTCGACCTAATAAAGCCCTTGTCAAGCAACTCTTTCGGCCGGGTCATTAACTCCTTCAATTCAAATGGTGCCAAACGGTATGGTGCCCTAGCCATTGGTGCCGCCTTGGGCGTTAGATCAATTTTAAACTCAATTGATTGGTCAGGAGGTAAACTAGTCAATTCATCAGGAAATACCTCGGGATATTCACAAACGATTGGAATGGATTCTTGTTTACCTTTCTCTTTCTTTGTATCGACCATATAAGCCAGAAAACTTTGGCACCCATTCTGAACACACTTTCAATCTTTCGTAAAAGATATCAGGTTGGTGTGATGATCCCACTGATCAACATAAATCAAAATTGGTCCTTTCCCGGGTAAATCAATGTGTATCATATTTTTATTACACACAATGCTGGCCTGATTCTTTGTCAACCAATCCATTCCCACCATAACATCGAATTTCCTTATCGACATCGGAAATAAACGAATCAGTAACACGCACCCCTCAACCTCAATTTGGTGGTTATTAAAAACATGGGTAACATATACTTGACTATTGTTAGCAATATCAACAACTAAGGCATAGTCTAGTGGCACAGATTTCATGTATAAACACCCAACAAATAAAGGTGATACAAACGAATAATTGGCACCAGAATCAAATAACACCTTTGCATATACTGAGTTTATAAGAAATGTAATTGTCACCATATTGGGAATTTCCTCTGCCTCCCCCCTCGACGTATGAAATGATCGGTTCCTTGCTCTATCTGATTCATCCATCCTAATGTTGACTCCCCCACAAGTACTTGGAGTGTTTCCACCAAGAGTTAGTCTTGGATTCTTTAACTGAGGGCAATGTGATTTGAAGAATCACACTGGTAGCAATGTTGAGGCATCCAACAATCTCGGGAGATGCGCCCCGATTTTCCACACCCGAAACAAACTATTTGATTCATATCACAATCACTTTGATGAGCACAGTGACATCTTTGGCAGGGTTGTTCACTGAATTACTGAATCGGGTGATTCTCTGTTTTCACAAACTTTGGTCTTCTAGACTCTGTTGAAGACCCCTCTCACCTCCTCTTTTCCACTACCTTTTCTTCCCCTTGCCAGTTCTTATTCCTTTCAGTTGTTTTAGCTGCATGTACTGCCAATGGGAAAGTAGTGGGGTTCATCGTAATCACAAATTCTCGGATCGAAGGTTTTAATCTCCAAATATACCTCTCAACTTTACGAGACTCGGATGAGATATAATGTTCAGCAAAACGAAAGTGTTCGATGAACTTCTCTGTATTCTCTCTACCGTTTGATTACCTTGCTCTGACTTCAAAAATTTCTCTTCCAATTGTCTTACTGCCGCTTTAGGACAGAATCGTTCCTTGAAACGATCAACACACTCCATCCAATACATAGTTTGTAAAATATTGGATTTTGCCAAAGATTCAACGTCCCACCAATATAAAGCATTAAACTTAAGCATATATACGACAAATGTGACCGGATGTTCATAAGAACACTTACTTGCATTAAATATTGATTCAATTTCCTTCAGCCAGCACATTGCTTTTAAATGATCTCTTTCTCCAGAAAAAGTTGGGGGTTTACACGTTAAAAACATCTTGATATCACTCCCTCTCGTATTTGCATATTGGATTTGCATGTTAATCTTTACTCGCTTTGTTTCCACTCTGGCAGGTACTCCCAAAATATGAGTCAAAGTATTTCTCAATTTGCTAACATATCACGAGTAACATACTCAATATGTTGAATTGGTTCTTCATTAATATTCTCCTGAATAAATTCACCTTGATCTGGACGAACTTCAGGATGACTACTACTTCCTCTTCTACGTCCCCTGCCTCGACCTCTTCCTCTACCCCGACCCACTGGAAGATTTTCAGGAACGTTTTCGGGTGAACTTTCTCTCTCGTCTGGGCTTATGAGGGCGATCCTTTCAGACCTTCTAGATTGACTTGCCATCTGTCATTTAGAAAATTTAATATTCACATAATTACATTTCCAAATATAATAATGTATCCAAGCACACATATGTACTGGTAAACCCATGATTACATTGGCCAGTTGTAATTTAAATTTACCTTACATATCATTTCTTTGACCCATCATATTTATTTCAAAAGGATCTACATATGTCAAGGACCCTTAATATACAAATAATAAGTTTAAGACTAGGCATCATGTTGAATACCTAAATCTCTTAAATTCAGGCTCTGATACAAAACTTGTAACACTCCAAGATCACATTTGTATATAACCACATATTTCATATATCATGAAATACAAATTACACATTTGGTCCCACTACATACAAAAGCTACATTACAAAAATAGCTACCAAATTTTTCCACATAATCTCAGTACAAGACTTGTATACATAACAAGTAACCAGATACAGATAACATCAATTCATCCCAAAAATCCACATTCAAACAATTATAAATTCTTCATAATTTTCATTTAATCAAAACCAACCAAATAATAAAAAATAAGTGAATATTAAAAGGAGTTAGATATCTTTCAAAACTAAGAGAGTTTGTGCAACTTTTAGGTTGACTTATTTTTTGGATAACCATCTTTTATTAAAAAAAATGTATACCAGAAACTAATATAAAAAATAACATAAAGTTGACAATAAATCAACACCATAAAATTGGTAGAAGTTATAGTTGTAAAAACAATATTTATATATCTATAATCTATATTTTTATATATTTATCTTTATCCATATAAAAACAATAACCATGGATAATCTGGTGACAACTACTAAGCATTATAAATCATTTTTTTCTCACATTATTGTTTGAATCCCAATTGGATCAAAGAATGAAAGAGGCACGTGGGAGGTGGATACAAAAAAAATGACCAATTTTTTTCTCAATATTGCTTGCATCCTGCATTGGATGATGGAATGAAAGTGACAAGAAGGAGATTGTTACAAAAAGAAATGACTAAAAATGGAACAAACATTTTTTTTCCTGAGATCTTGACTTTTTGCTTAAGATCAAATATAGTACATGTTTTTAGTTTATATATCTGTCATGAATCTTAGGTTTTTGTTTAGATCAAGTATATTATATGTTCTTAGTTTGATATATAATATTTGAATCTTCAACTTACTTGGTATTTTAATTTTTATATGAGAATGCCCATTATACTACTTGGTGATATAGTTATTTAACCATCGCCTTGGTGTTGCTATTATTAAGACTTGACGCACCTCTCTAATTTACAATTCAAATATTATAGAATGTTATGATAAAATGTAGTATTTGTTTTTATCAGTTTAATATCTTATATGTGGGTCATCGACCCCACTTGATATTAATTTTATTGTTTTACAAGGGAACATCCATTATCTTAGTTTGGTAATATGGTTCTTCATGCATCGTCTTGAGTTTCTATTACTGTTGTTACAACTTACGCATAACTCAAATTTTCATTAATGTTATAGAATGTTTTTTTTTCATAACTTCAAATGATATTTCAATTAAATTTGTTATAAAAATTAAAATTGTGACTTTGTCACCTTAGATGAGATTTCAGTTAAAACTGTGATTTTAAGTTAAACAAACTACTAACATTAGTCAAAAATTTGTAAAGTACATTGCAACACCGTTCTCGAGCATAGTTAAAGAACTTAAAATAGCATACGGTTCTAAGATTGTTGTCAACTTCTCTTAATAACTTTTAATGTTAATGAATAGTTAACACACACATTTTTTTAAAATAAAATTTTAGTTTATAACATTCCTTTTTGAAGATGATATTATCACTACACAATGTACGGTTACAACTAGTGATGGCCAAAAACCTGTCTCGGGTCGGGCTAGGCCGGTCCCAACCGGTCCCAAGATTTCTCATAACCAGCCATAACCGGTTCCGGTCCCGCACGAAAAAGTTGAGCCCTGTCAAACATTATTGTAACCGGTTATGGGCCGTCGGTCCCGGTCATTAAAAAATAATTTTTTTATTTTTTTAATGATATATATTTTTAATACATTATAAAATTTATAATTGGATCACTCAAATACACTTTAAAAATGCGTTCCATTATAATTAAAATTACATTGTCTTACAAAATATAGCAAGAAACGATAATTGTGAATGTTTTTTTGCGGATCGAAAACTTGGTATGTAAATCTCTCAACCAAGACACTTATATATAGCGTTTAGAAAGCAAAAAATACAAAAAAAAGGTCAAAAAATGACTAAAAAAATAGTTACATTTTTAAAAAATCGGGCTAGGTTGGGCCGGTCCATAACCGGTCCCGGTCTCACGAAACACCCCAAATCTATAACCGGTCCCAGATTTTCGGTCCTATAACCGGTCCTTACCGATCCCAGACCAGACCAGTCCTTGGTCGGTCCCCGTCATCCGACAATCCCGAGCCGAGCCGGTTTGGCCATACTAGTTATAACATAAAAACCGTAATTTTGAAACCATAAAAACAAAATTCGCCGGTTTTAACAAAGCGTAAATTACCGTAAATTCTATTAGAAAAAACAAAGGCGGTTAGTAAAACTATTTCAAAGATAAACGAAGCTTCACAATCACCCCTACCGAAAAGTCAGAATAATCAAATTCCAAAGCCCAAAGATGCTGAGAAGAAAACCAAGCAAGATCGAAGTTAAAATCGAAGACAAAGAAGAACTCGAAGAAGCCCGCAAGCGTGCCGCCGCCACCTCCACCTCCACCTCCACCTCCACCTCCCAACCCACCGGCGCCACCTCGCTTCTTCACCACTTCAACCAATCCTCTACCACCACCTCTTCCAAATCACATCGGATTGGCCTCTCCTCTTAATTATCACCCGGTTAAGGTTTGTGTTTGAGGGTAGTGATTACTGTTTTTGGTGGAATCATCAAGCATTGGGAAAAGAGTAAAAGGCGACTTTTGGGGAAACTCAATGACGATTGCGGTCTAGGGTTAGGGTTTGAGTTTTTTTTTTATGGGTTTAAGAGTGGGAATGAATCAAGATTTGAATTTGGGATGCTGTAAGATATTAGGTGTGAGAGTAGCGAGCCTGGGAAAGGTAAAGAACGGCTTGAGGAGTTCTTGAAAGGGAATGGAACTGCTTGTTCCTGTTTCATGGCTTCAAAATATGCAATTTGCAGTCATACCTAGTAACTAGTAAGTGAAATTTTATGGGTTCAATCAATTTATTTTGTTATGTATGATCAAGTAATTGTGTGTTTTAATATCATTAGTAATAATATAAAACACATGTTTATGTATAATTTTATATATGATAGTGATTTGTTGTTGTAAGTCATGCATTGAAAAACGTAGTGGCTCCTAAGGCTTGAGGTTTGGCTTCACCGTCATGTCTCAAGCCATTTAGAACCTTGGTATTTGATATGTGAAGTTAACAAAAGTAAGTGGTGCTTGGTTGGGGGTATTAGATTGTAGTTGCACCACTTCTTCTCGATGTATATTGGAACCTCTTTTTCTTTTCAAAAACTTTTTGGAGAGTAATTGAAGGGGTTCCACATGTTCTCACAGTGGCAAATGAGGATGCCAATGATTAAAGATAGCTGAGGTATAATGGGACGACTCGTTATAGAGTAGTGGGTAATGAACCATTGCTCCATAAATGGCAGTGAATTTTACCTCCCAAACCTATATATAAAAACGTCGTTGGTTTGCAACAACCTTTCTCCAGTATCAATGCAATGAGATTACCCATTACCATTCCTACTCCCATTTCCATTATCAGTACCAAATATTTGTTGATGAAGGCTTGTTCTGTTGTGATTCAACATTAATCTACCTCTGCACAAGAAAGTAGGAGGTTTATCACCTAATTCTTGGAATGAATTTGCGGTAATTTTGATCTCATTTGTTAGTTGATCTATTTGCCTTTTACTGAGTAAATTTATATAAGTTGCAGCCATGTTTCACATATCATGAATTGTATCTTCAGACTTGCATGAACTTGTAGGTTTACCATATGTTCTCAGGGATCTACAAGCATGTAATATTTGATGAATTACAGCCTACGCCTTCAACCCATAGGGTTTGTTTCCCTTATTGCAAATGCTTGCAACTGTGATTGGTTTTATATGATTCGTTTCACAATGAGAGCGGGGAGATGAAATGGCAATGGTTTTATGGAGTTTTGTATTACCAAAAAGTTTGATGACAAACTTGCAAAATGACGTCAAGTTCTGTATGCCCAAAACCCTACCTCTGTGTGATATACTGCCTCTGTTTGATTTGGTTTATCTCTAAAGATGATGAAGAACCATGTTTATTGTTCGTCAAATGTCAAATTCCTATAGCAAACCGAGACTACATATCCAACATGCACATAATGTTTGTGTTTGTAAATTGCAACCTCCTCCAAAACTGCTTGTAATTCTTGTGCATTTTTTGTTTTAGGAATTATGAGGGATGCAGCAATGAAGTAATGTAAATGGCAATTTGGGAGGGAGCAACATCAGCCTTTGAGTTGTAAAATTTAATCCATTCTTGTATGGCATATATGTGTTGATCATAATCTTTTAGTTTTATGTTCTTGTAGGATGCTATCCAATAATAAAAGATTGAGTATGCTTTCATAATCCATAAAGATGTTGGTATTCTTCAATGTTTGTCCAGCAGTTTTCAGCTATTCTTTTTTGTAACTACTTCATCTTTGAAGTTACATTGTTTGGTACGCATAACAAGTTTTTGTCGCGTACCAAATGCACCCAAATCATTCCTTTTAGGTCTCTTCTATTTCTAAACATCATATCATTCTTACCTTGAAGATGAAGGGATATCCAGAAGACAGGCAGTGGTTTGGACAAAATACCATACAACTTGAAAACAAGCAGATTTCAGCAAAGTAAACAAATTATTCATCCCAGAAAATGGAATATATGCATAATACCAATCTTTAGCACAATACAAAAACACATATCACCATTCTAACAGATTTTGATGCTCCCAAAAGGCACAAGTTGAATCCAAAATGATGTTTCCTCTCCCTACAACATACTTGATAGATAATGGAACATCCAGTCTAACAAACTACCATTACTCTACTTTCTCTTCTTAGCAGGTGGTTGTTCCTCTTCATCCTCATCTTCCTCCTCTTCTTCGTCGTCCTCATCATCATCATCGTTATCTTGTTCATCATCATCGTCGTCGTCATCATCACTGCCTTGGTTACCATTTGCTGCTGGATCCTCATCAGGGTCTCCTTCCTCATCATCATCATCGTTATCTTGTTCATCATCATCGTCGTCGTCATCATCACTGCCTTGGTTACCATTTGCTGCTGGATCCTCATCAGGGTCTCCTTCCTCATCATCATCATCGTCATCTCCTCCCTCATCACCTGAGAAATCTTCGTCTGCAGCATCATCATCATCTGCCTCCTCTGCATCCTCATCTTCATCATCATCCTCTGTGTCACTACCATCTTTCTCTTCAGCTTCAGTTTTCTCCCTCTTGTGAAGCTCAGCAAAAGGAAACCTGCAAATTTTCCATTGTTAAAGTACAGTTTTAACTACCCCAAATGTTCTAACCAAAAACAGAGAAGAGTGTGCTACCTTTGACTATTTCCCAATGTATCTGTGTCCTTGAGCAGAAATCCTGCCTGCCAGTACACACTCATCTGACATTAGGATGATATAGCATAAACAAAGACATTCGTGTTCGAGTTTGCTCTTTTGTAAATGTATTATATATCCACAAAAATTAGTAGAGATATATGTAACTACAGGTCAACCAATAAGGATGTACCATGGTATAATGCACACATGGACGAAAGTAACAAGACAAGCAACGCCGAACGAAACAGTTTATTCAAGAAGTTAGTAACATAACGGGATCCAAAAGCCAAGTTTAGTTGCTTCACAGTAGATAACTAAATATTACAGCAAAACAACTAGAGAATTTGGTTTCAGGAACACTGTATGCCAAACCCCAACAAATTGCCATTAAAGAGGCCGGTCCACAGTTCTGCAATGCATATAGAAAGACACCCATAGACCAATAATAGTCGTATTTAGCTAAAAGCAATGCATCAGCCAAAAATATCAGACAAACAAGCAGAAAAATAATAACTTTTCATCCTCCTAAAACTACAATCTCAAGTTGGCAATATGTTAATTTGATATGCATGTTTGCATAGTAATCCTGAAGTGGATCTTCATATCTCACAGCATCATATCAGTTTTACGGGTCCATATTATAACAAGATCTTTGTATCATTCAAACAAAGGCACGCGAAAACAAAATCATCTCCTGCTTCCTCTCCATCCATAAAAACCAGCTAATTGAAAAAAATGGAAGATAGTGGACGGTCCAACAGCTTCACATAGAAGAGAAACATACAAATTGGGATTTTTCAACCAAAGTCCTAATGCACTTCCTGTTGGAGTCCCAAATCGGGTAGACTTTAACCATTTCTCCTCGATAAATGTTGAAACCTCCATTCTCTCCTAAGGGATCTTTTAAAGAGTAATATAATGGGATTCCACAAACTCAAAAAGACTTTCAAAGCTAAAAGCAGTGCCTTGTTTAGAGATTTTTAGCGTCAAGGGACCGTAGGGAAAAACTAAAGGAAACCCAACACAATGAAGAACCAATTGGCCTACAAACTCAACTTCCAGGTCCTATAAACACACCCACGAAAGAATCAAAGGCCTCTTCACATGGCTGCAAGTATAATTAAAGCAAAACCTAACTTGCTAGATATCGCAACAAAAGGTTCAAATAACATGGGTCCAAACTCAAAGGAACAAAGCATCAAATACCTGGTACGCACCCACGTACAGCAATATTCTAATTATAACTTAGTACCCCTAATTAGCAAAAGAACAAAATTAACAAAAACAAATTGTTTACGCAGAATATGTGATGAAAAACCCAAAAACATAAACAGCAAAACGTTTAATTCAATAAACAAAGCCCCAATTACGTGAAACAGATAAATTAACAGCAAATTAAACCAGATGTTTAGAGTGAGAAAAAGAAGTCAAAAAAATAGTTGATAGAGATGAGGGTGACGAAGGAAGGATTCGACGCATATACCATCGTGAGAAGGCAAGCAAGAGATCTGTGGGACGCCAAGAGGGTCTCCAAAACCAGAGCTTCAGAACCCATGTTCTTCTGCAAAAACCCTAAATCAGAGGCAAAACATTTCCCTACTTCCATTGCCAGAATTCGAAGAAATTATCTTGGACGGACCCACTTGATAAATATTTTTACAGATAGGAAAATGAAAGGACTATTTGGCTAAAAGTGATGAAACAAGGGGGATCATAGGTTAGGGTTGGGGTGTGGATTCTTGGGACGAGGGTGTTGAATCTAGAAGCTAGGGTTTTGTTGGGGTAGACCTCCATTTTTATAAGTAAATGGAGCAATTTTGACCATGACCAGATGTTTAAATCAAGTCATTTTTAATATTATTTTTTAAATAACAAAATAACCATTAAAACATTAAAATTACAAAATTTTATAGTTCCATTGAACAATAAAATAACAACTTTAATCATACATTAAAAACATATTTAATATTATAATAATA